GTAAAGTTGGACCTATTATGAGATTCGATCACAGTTATCAAAGATGATAAGAAATTAAAGCAACACCAACTTGCTAAAACCAACGAACTTGTGGCCTTACCAATCAATCGCCCTGTTGAAGATGGCGAATTCTGAACATCGATATCACTGGCCGTCAAGAGAATTAGTCTAATTTCAGAAGGGAGGATGTTGTGTAATTTTGTAACAACCCCTACTTGTAACTTAGTTACAATCACTGTTGATGTTGTTGCAACTTAGTTGCTTGTTTCCTTCTCACCTTCTTGACCTCTCACTTCTCTTCCTTTTCATGGTATAAATACCTTCTAATTGATTGTTTAATTAAGTAGTACTGAAGGTCCTAAACTAAGTTTAGTGTCAATCTATTGTTTGTGAATCTCTCATTGGGATTGTCTCTTCTTCTCATTAAGATTGTCCTTCTCAGAAGGTTAAGTTTCTCCCACACATTGTATCTAATTGTGAATCAATTAACACTTAAAGTCTCGTCTTGAACTATTGTTATATTAATTAGTGACTAATTGTAATTGACCCAAACTCGTATTTGAGACTGTGATTAAAGTCCATTTATTAATCCCCAAGAAAATCAACTTAGTCGTGTCTAGAGCCTATTTTGCCTTTTTGTCTCCATGTTGGATTTTGCCAATATTGTAGCCAGATTGTGACAACTAAGTTGTCGAGTGTTGCTAAAATTATAATCGGTCATTATTTTATCTAACAACTTGAACGTTGAGAAACTAAAATTTGAGATTCGAGATTCATTTTTTTTTTGGTTTCGTTTGTTGTTGTTCACAAAGACAATTAACTAATCAAATTGTGTAACCACAATTAAATTCAATGATTTATAGTTATAATTATGTTTCCAATGTAAAATAAATAACAATTTACTGTTGATTCCATGACAATCAATTGATTTCTTGACCATGAACTCTCCGGAATTTGGACAACTAATCATTTGCAATTTGATTCTAATTCAAACTAAATTAACTAACTACAGGGATCCCATTGGGAAAGGGTTAACACCTAAATTAATTCAGTGAATAATTAACTTGATTAATTTGAATAAACATTTGCAATGGGAAAAAAAGTTCATTTTATTCAATAAATCGCTTGGTTTGTGTGATTTAATTGCTAATCAAATGAATACTGATTGATAATCATACCAAGTATAATAAAAGCAAAACTGATTTAACATGATTAACTTTAATTGCTATTTAAATTTATAGTTAAACTAAATTGTTGTGAATTGAACGGGTTGAGTTTTTTTCACTGAAAACTTTTTATTAACCATGAAAATTTTAATCAACTTGTTGATATCTTTTACTTGATATAACAATTTGAATTGATTGCAATTTAAATTTGATTCAGAATAGTTAATTTTCAAGTTAATTGATTTAATCACACTTTACTGTAATAAACTTAACTAATTAATGAATATATGTATTAATTATTGATACTAATATATAATGGAAAACTGGTCAAGTTAATTGATTAGAGTTATTGGAAAAAAAAGTTGATTAAATTGAGTAATTAATTAATTGTGGACTCTTCTTATTATCCCTTAAAGAAACAATTAACATTCAGATAAAAAGCAGTCAAATTAATTAGTTATATGAAGACTTGGAATTTTAATTGAATCTTAATTGTAACAGCGGAACAAAAAAGTTAAACTAATTACAATTAAATTGAAACATTTTTATTTCCTTTACAATCAACAAATCAACAGAAAGCTAATCAAGTCTCACCAGAAACTTGAATCCAAGTTAATTGTAAACACTAATCAGAATACAAAGTAAATTAATCATGATAATTGGTAATTGATTACAATTAAATCAATATTGGAGCGATCAACAATTTACAAAGATAATCAAATTTTGTCACTTTTGTTTGGTGAAAATTTTGTTATCACAATAACGACAATTAAATTGATGACAATCAGAATCAACAAATCATGTTAATCATCAAGGAAAGTTCAATATCATTTAAACCGAGCGTTAAATTGTTAATCATCCAAGGCTACATGGTTACAATTTAGCTTCACAATTAAGACGATTGCGTGATTAGTATTCTTACTTTCAATAAATTGTCGTAATCATGAAAAGTTTCAACTGAATTGTAATCAAAGTGCCAACGTATTAATAACATGAATCAAGTCGGAAAAGTAATAAAATTAAAAATAATTATCACAAACAATAATTATCATGATAATAAAGATTAACAAAAACAACACCAAGAAACAAGTTGATAATTAAATTGTTAATAACAATTTAATTAGTTACTAATTTAATTCATTTCAATGTTACAAAATTGTCATCAAACTTATCAATGTGATTAGATGATGATTAAAGTTATTATTACATTTTTATGATTCCTGATCATGTCTAGGGTTTTAATCATCTTCTTAATTATAGTTAAGCAGCTGATTAGTTAATTGTGTCCAAAGGGTTTTAATTATCTCAAGGGTTAAGCCTGAATCATGGTCGACATTTAATTGATATAATTATTATTACCTCGTACCGATATCAGGTCACTTTTTAAATGGCATCAAAATTTATTAATTATCTTAATTACGATTTACTGATCATTGGAATTAAGAAAAGTTTTTAACAGCAATTAAGTTAATCTTGAATAATTATGTTAATTTTATCCAATCATAAGTAAAGTTAATTGATTTAATCCTTGAGTTTGTATTGATTAACTTGATCAATAACATTAAGTTGATTTATTTTAATTGTTTGTAAATTGTTGCTCCTGTTTCCTGTGATTATCATTTACTAAAACAATGAGACTAATCAATCAGAGTATATTTAATCAATAATATACAATTAGTTAACTTATTGATTAGTTAAATTCAGTTGCCTGGTCACACCCTTTTAATCATGATGATTAAGATTAAGATTATGATTGTTGTTATTGTTTATTTGGTGTTTAGTTAATGACAAAAATAAAAAGTGTTACTTGATTATTAGATCAACAGTAAATTAATTCAGTTGAATTGATTTTTTTGTTATTCACCAACAATTTAGGTGAGGTTAGTTAGTTTACTTAATTACCTGCAATTTGTATCGACCCAATCGTATTGATTAATTTAAATTAACCTTTATGAAGATGAGAGTGATTAACTTTAACTATTAATACTTGTATCTGTTATGTGCCAATTTGATCAACACAGCAATTAGTTTACACTTTATTCAACAATCATCAATCAATTAACTATTCAATCAAATTTAATTCACTGATTAAAGGTACAAACAGATAATTGATTTTACAGTTAACAATAATGATAATAATAATAATAAACTGTCAATAATATTGCAAATAAATTGTTAATATAATTCAAGAAAAACAAGAAATACAATTTAAAACAAAATCGTAACAATTAACATAATTGATTGATGATTTCATGATTTTTTAAACTAATTATTAAATCAGTCAATTGGTAGATCAAGTCTATCAAGATGAAAGCTAAATAATAAAAACAACAACAACAACAATCAATAAATGGTCATGATTCAGTTAATTGTTGTGGATTGGAATTGTCTTTCACCAATTTCAATCAAGGTGATTAGAATCGTTGATTACTCTGGTTAATTGTGTTGGACAAAATTAAACGATAACTTGACCTAACATATAATTAGTGTTAGATTGCTAACTGAGTGTTTATTGAGGTGGACCAAAGGTAAATTAATGATATATTATTAGACTCTCATTATGTTGATATTATTGTTATAAGAAGTTGATTAATATACTTTAAATCATTGATTATTATTATGATTAACTAACTTTCCCTTGATTGTTACCTCCTATTTTGCACCAAAATCTATGATTATATTAAGATTACCTGATGGGTACAATGAATTTTTAATATTAATCGTTAGTAAACTGACCTATGTCCTTTTCTTGATTGTTATTCAAAATCAACTTGCCCTCAGGCAATTTTTACCCTAAGGCAACCTCAATGTTATTATTATATTAACATTGTTTTAGATTATAACTTTTCTTGTTGTTAATCATGTCCATTAACCCTGCCCAGTTAATGAAGTTGATTAAAAGTTATTATCAAAAATCATTATAATTATTAACTGATAATAATCATGATAATATTCATGATGATTAACTCTTGATTAAGTTAATCTAGTTCCATGTAGTTGATTGGGGAAAAAAATTCTCATTCTTAATCATGTTAAGTCTGAACTTTTTGTTTTCTTGATTGTTTGTTGGTTAATTTTTTTACTTTATTATTATCGTGTTTGATTAACCTAATTAATGACAAGACAATCAGATTAATAATTAACTTTACTTTGTAATCAGAGCATCAATTTAATTTTCAATGTTACTTTTGTGAGTAATTAACGGCGATTTGATTACAATTAACTTTTTTTTTCCTTTCAGACTAATTACCAAGTTGCTCAATCAGTTTCCTATGATGATGAGGATGAGGATGTCTCAATGATTTTCAATTGTTAATACAATCAGATTAATCATCATCATCATCAGTTGATTGTTTGATTTACCTTAATCTGTGAACCAGAAAATTAAATTGTAAAATTAGTTGATTAACAATCACAATTAGACAAAGATTTTTGTAAACCTTTTTGTTTGTCTACTATTTTTCTCAACCTTAATCAACTTTACTCTGAATTTAAATCAAATCATTTCCTGGATTAGATAATTAAACTTAAATTATCGTATCCTAATCACAGACAATTAACAATAAACTATCAGCAAATATGATCACATGGAAAACAGTAACCATCAAATCAACCATTTATCTTAATTGGGATTAAATTAAATTGCCAAATCTGATGATTACACTGATAATTTAATTACAAGTTGTCAAATTATTGAAACAATTTGTATGTAACTTGATTAACTTTTTAAATTGTTCATTTTGTTTTCCTTAATGTTGACAACTTGTTTTTTTACTCGTGTTGATTAACGAGGTTGTGTTTTTGTGTCATTAACTAATTGTGATTGAAATTGATTACAATTTAAGTAAATTGAACTATTTGTTTATTAATTTATCTTATAAATAATCATGTTTATTATATCAGGTATTTTATAATCAATTAAGATTAGAGATGAAATCATTTCATCATATGGACACCCTTAAGTAAGTAAATGACTTAATTAATATATAATTATGACGATGCGAAGGTAAGATTGTACAATTAATTGTTAGCAATTAGTTAATTGGTGAGTAAGATTATGTTTGGTGATACAGAGCAAAATCGCTTACAATTAACATTTTGTTTTGCAAATTGGTTGAGATTCAAAAGTTGATTGGGTTTTTAATTTGATCCAAATTTCCAAGCGATTGGATTAACGAATTAACGAAAGTTAATCACCATGATTGGGATTTAATTCTTAATTGTTGATGATAACTTTATTTCGCCATCATTTATCATCATCTTCATCATCTTCGTCTTCATTATCTTCTTCTCCTTCTGATTTCATTTCACTTGAATTTTCTCGCCTCAATGTGATCTCATGTTCTCGAGCTTTCGCCCGAAGTACAGCGATGCTTGAGGAGCGAAAATTTTCCGTTGGAATTTTGTCTGATTCCAATTTTTCAGGAAATTCTTTTGCTGTAACAAGGCACAAAGGTGAAGATCCATTTGCTGATTTTATCGTTGTTTTGGTTATCGATAATTTATCATGATCCTTGGTGGATTTACTTTTGTTGGGATTATCCTTGTTACTTGTTGATTCATTACTGTTTCCATTTGAATTGTTAACACTATTTGGTCTTGATGATGAGGGTGAAGATGAGGATGAGTTTGTTGAATGGTTGATCGGTGGTGGTTGTGGTGATAGTTTACCTGGTGAACCGGTAACTGAGATTGTGGGTGATGTTGAGGGAGGTAGATGAGATTGAGAGTGTTGGTGATGAGGTGATGAAGATGATGTGTTTGTTGATGTTAAATTTGTTGGTGGTTGATGTTGTTGTTGTTGTTGTTGATGATGAGGTGAACCATGATGAGGATGATGAGATGAATGTGGTGATGATGAATGATGATGATGTGCTGCTGCGGCTGCTTGTAGATCCTTAAATGATGATGGGTAACCATGTAGACTCGGGTGTTGATTACCATAAAGTGATGATAAGGTGGCTAATAGATTTTGAAATGAAGCCGGATTATTAGCACCGGCTAGATGAGAGTTGGCTAGTAATGAATTGAAACTGGAAGCTGCTAACCGACTGTTTATCAATGATTGATAGGTTCCAGCGGCTGCGGCTGCTGCTGCTGCAGCTGAAGGGAAACCAGCGAATCCAGGTAATCCATTTGGTGAACTGGCTAAGGTCAAAGGGATTGAAGGGTAAGGTGATGAGCCTTTGGTATCTGGATGAAGATGATTAATGAAATTGGTTAAAAATGGATTTGGCATATTGTCATTGGACATATTGCCTAAACTGCCCACACCTCCGCCGCCACCGGAACCTGAATTAGGATGATGGTGATGATGATGATTAGACGTTAATCCATTTGGTAGTGATGATGAGGATGAGACTCCATTAGAACCAGATGAAGTTCCGGTTGATTGAGATAAATTGACTCGACTTGGTAAAAGAGTCGGTGGATTAGCGGATGACCCATGGTAAAGGCCAATATTATTATAGACTGGACCTGAGTTCGGACTTAATCCTGATCCATTTGGTGACTTATCCTGTTTTCTAAATTTGGCTCGACGATTTTGAAACCAAACCTAATTTCAAGTTAATCCAATAAAGAAACACAATTAGATTGACAACAATCAAAAAGTCATAATTGTTCAAGTATGAGAGTCAAGATAATCCTTTGTCTCAAGATTAACTCGATTATAAAATGTATCCAAATCAATGGATTAACTTTTATGGATTAGAGAAAATCTTGAGACAAAAACATGAGATTTCAACAGATTTAGAAGGTGTTTGAATGCCCTTAATCCTAATCTAATCTCTCTGATTGATCGAAACCTTTTGTATCAATTGAAATCTAATTAAACTTAATCAACCTATTGATCGGATTAAAAATCAATAAAACAATTAGCAAACTAATCAAATCAAAGGTGCAAACAATTAACTATTATGAACACGTACAGAAAATTAAACATTTTCCTCACTTTTAATTAATTTGAGCAAAAAACCTTCAGCACAAAAAAACTAATTACAATCGCGAACTAAATTAATTTAGACAATTATGTTAACAATAACAGCGGATCTTGAACAATCAGCCAAGTTAATAACAACAACAATTAACTTTGTACAGAAAAATAAACTGTAAACAATTAAAAATTAAACAAGAAACTATAACTCAATAAAAGGGTACAAAGGATAATTAACTAATTGTTAACACTAATCAATGTTAAATATACATTCAAATCCAAGGTTATATCTAAATGGGTTTTCTTGTTGTACTGAACGTTCAATGTTTCAACAATTAACTTAAATTGTTGATTCGTTGATATTATAGGAGGAAAAGGCGAAGATGATAATTTAAAGTGTCACAATTTACGAGAATGTAAATTGATTGTAATCAAGTTAATTCGCAATTACCTGAACTCTCGCCTCAGTTAAGTTAATTTTCGCTGCGAGTTCTTCCCTGGTAAACACATCAGGGTAATGAGATTTTCCAAATGATTTTTCAAGTTCTTCTAATTGGAATGAAGTAAATGTTGTCCTATACCGACGTTGTTTTCGTTTAGGAAAATATCCATTAGAACAATTAATTAATTCAGTTGTATCTTCCATTCTGTCCATGTTATCATCATAATCATCGTCGTTCAGTTTATCATTATCATTATTCATTGATTCACTTCCTTGTCCGTGGTCACTTCGAGAATCACAATTTTCTTGTAACAATGATTGTCGATGATGATTATTAGCAATATGGTTACTTAAATTATCAGTGTTAATTGTTGTAATAATTAATTTATCCGAATCAGTTGAACTATTGTGATTATTGTTACGATTAAGATGATTGTTATTGGTTAAGATGTAATGATGATTTGGACTCGGTTCTTGTTCATCATCTGAATCAGTTGAATTGTTGTGATGATTGTTGATTTTTAAATCATCATTTGATGAAATTGATGATGATGATTTAGTCGTAATTAACTTAGTACCATTGTCTTTAGCACCTTCATTTAAAACAAGATGAGCAATTGTAAAATCACGAGAACGAGTTGATTTATTGATTGTTAGGTGAGATGAGTGATTGTTGAACAAATGATGAGGATGAGAGACAACGGAAAGTGGATGATGATGATTATGATGATTAAGATTAAGATGGTGGCTCGTTAAATCACAATTAGGACTTGATGGTGAATACCTGTAACCAGGCATTTTGTTATCAAATTCAATGGGCAATGAGTAAATTGTACTACCCTTTGCAAGGGTAATTGGAGTGATTTGAGTAACCGCCGTAATGTTAACAATTATTACAACACGAAACAATTAAAACAAATGTAAAGGTGATTTGTTGTCATATCAATTGGATCACAATTTATTCAGATGATTGACCATTAATCAGATTTCATTTAAAGTTAAGGTCAAGATTATTTGGTTAAAACTAATCATGAATTAAAAGGTAAACATAAACACATTGACGTTCATTGTATCAACATTAATAACAAACTGGACTCTCACTCAGGTAAGATGATGTTCATCATCATTATCATCATTATCATCAGTTTACTATGAAGATAAAGACGCTCCCAGGTGAGTAAACCAGGTAACTAATTTAATCTCCTCCTCATCATCTCTCTCTCTCTCTCTCTCTCTCTTTCTACCTTTATCTTCCCTCCCTATTAGTGTTTCTCTCTCTCTCTCATTCTCTTTCTATCATTTAATCTTCTCTCTCTCATCATCTTCTTCTTTTGCCTCATCATCATTTCGATATTATTATGATTCTTTTAAATACTATTAGTGAGAACAATTAAATTAACTAATTATTTTTTTCTTCTGCCATTCGAACTTTTTTTCCTCTTTCTTTTTCTCTTTCTTCTTTCAAGGTGGAGTTAAGACTTTGTTATTCTTGTGGGTGGTGATAACTCTCTCTCTCTCTCTCTCTCTTGACTCCACCTTAATTTTAAGGTGGCAAATTGTTCATTTAATCAACTAAATTGTAAATAATTTATCAAATCAGTGAACAATCAATTGAGTTTTACACTTTTTTTCCCTTTCCTTAATCATTTCATTAAATTAACTTGAGTAACAAATCAATCAAAATTAAAAGAGAAAAAAAATCAATTTAATTTCATCATAATAATTAATCATTGCCTCAAGAGGAATAAGTTAATTGTTATTGAAATAATCAGAAGAAACAAAAAGAGAAGGAGAAACTTTTTAATTGCAATTAACTTTTCTCATTTCACAATCAATTCTAATTGTTTCTTTCACAGATATAATTGAGACTCTTAATTATTAATCATAATGATGAGCATTGTATCAATTTCACTAAATTCATGGTTATAAATATCATGATAATATTGAAACAATTGAATACTGATTACATCTCAATCGAAACTAATATTAAATTGTAATCATATTGTTATCAAAACTAAATTGTTTCCAATAATGATGATAGAACCTTAATCACGATAGTTGATTGAGAAATAAAGAAGCATAAAGTGTATCATCATCATCATCGCAATAATGATAATCATCTTAATCATCTTGACTATCAAGTAGTGGACACAATCAACGTGGAGGGTCAACAAACACAATCAACTCAACTATTAACAATTTAAGTCCATTGTTAAACTAAAAAGCCTCAAAAAGTGACCATTAATTTAAACTCAACTGTATTTTGTTATTTATATTTAACACTCATTATTATCATCATTATCTTCCTGTTCATCATAATTATCATCATCTCTCTCTCTCTCTCTCTCTCTCTCTCTCTCACACAGGTAAACAAGGCAAGAAGAAGATGAAATTATAATCAAGGTAATCAACTCAATGATTGGAATCGATAAGAATCAATTACAATGTGGTTACCATTTAAAATGATACCTTGTCAAAAGTGAATCAAATGAAAAGGTAACTTTTTTTTTCTTTCACAGAAAAGCGGGAAAATTAAATGAATACTTATTAGTGATAATGATAAAGTAACAGACTCATTGAGTTTATAACAAACTTATTACTTGACCATAATCATTGACCTCACAGGTAAGTTAATAGTAATAACTAAATAAACAGGGCTGATCACATAGAGATAAATTGACCAGGTAAGGATAATAATGATATCATTGACTTGATCATATCTCCAACTATTAACAGCTCCCTCCAACTCTCTCTCACTCTATGGATGATCTCTCTCTCTCTCTCTCTCTATAATATTTGATTGCTACTGTTAACTCCCCTTTCTCATCATCAATTTAGTACCTTGTTTGTTGATATTATTGTTACTAGTTAATCATTTATTTCACCATTTTTTTTCACGATTCTCACCTTCCCTCCCACTCTCTTGAGCAACTTACCTTTACCTTTCCCTCCCCACATTACCTGTCAAGAAGTAAATCTTTTCACTCTCTTGACAATCTCATTGGAAATCAATTGAATAGAAACTTATTATTATCATCATTTGATATCAATCAGATGAGATTATATTAACTCCTCCTTTAATCTTAACCAACAAACTCTCCCCTCGTCCCCTTCTTCCTCCTCCACCTTTATCATCATCATCATCATTATCATCATTATCATCCATCCATTATTATTATATATTGATACATCATCTGATTACCTGTCAATAGTTATCATCAACTGATTGTGTGTGGTTTATATCCTATACCATGATAATGATGAAACTGAGATTGCTTCATGTGGGAAAAAGGGATAAACTCAATGGTGGGAGGTATCTTGATATAATCTTGTTGATAATTTACTCAATTAAAGGTTAGTATCATTGCTTTGTATCATTTGAGCACATTGATTGTCAACCACAAGGTAACACACACAAAAAAAGTTGAAATTTCTGATCAAATGAAAGCCTGTAATCAATAAGATATGAAATTATCATGATAATCATTTTGAGGAGCAGAAAAAAAAAACCAAAATCAGTTTCCTAATATTGGATAACAATTACTGACCATTGTTGACCAATGACACTTGATTGTATTTATTATTTATTATCATTAGACAATCAGTACAACCTTTTCATTGACAATTAGTTAACACACTCACTCACTCACTCACACAATTGCCATGATTATCATGATAATAATCAATTGAGATGAATGATAATTGGTATTACAATATCATAATGATGATATTATCTTCCTGGTTCATGGTAATTATTAATCAACTAAATTATTATCATGTTAATAGATATCAAACTTTTGATTATTGGTTATCGATATGTAATAATAATAACAGTGAATATTATTGTTACAATAATTTATTTTCACCATTAATTAAATTTCTCGATTAAGTTAATTGGTTTTTGATTAGATGAGAGAGTAATCTAATTTACGATCTCTCTGTCTTCGTGGACTGAATAACTAATTGATTAGTTAATTATTGTCTAGGAATTAGAATAGTTAATTGTTGGATAAGAAATGAAGAATTCAAAGAAGAGAGAAAAAGATGAAAAAAAAATTATTCTTAATGAAAAGAGATTATTATTTTATCATGATTATCATGATAATTTGAATTACCTGACATGATAATTACTAAATTGGTGGATTAATTTTGTTATTAACTGCCAACTGGACCAATTAACTTTATTAATAACTGATTAATTGAAATAATCAGTTGACTGGATACAATGTTTTCCTTTATAATTAATGTAATATTATCATAATTTTTACACAACATGAAATTGAAAGTAAGATACAAACCGATTACTGTTAATAAAGTTAATCAATTAATGATAATTGCAATTAGTTTCCTTTTGTTTTGTACAAATCACGAACACGATAATTAATTTGGAGGTAAATTCAACTTGAGAATCGAGAACAGAAAATTAAATTTTCGTATGAAAAGTTTTCTAGTTTACAATCAATTTTGTCTCTTGCTCTCTTATCTTCATGATAATAATGAGTTTTACCTTCAGATGATATTATCTTGTCACATCTTGACAATTAGTACCATCAACGGTATTAATAAGTTGATGCCCACTTCCGGTAAACAGGGTGGATATTATAAAGATATTGAAACAAAAAATTGCTTCTATTATATTGTTACAATTAATATTTACGTAGAGACGAAATAACCTTGATAGAGAAACAGAAACTAAAGGTAACTATTATTAACAGAATTGACTTATTATTATCTATTATTATGTTGATTTTTGGCCTCATGTTGATCTAATTATGATAATGATACAGGACACCGGAGGAGAGAGAGAGAGAAGAGATGATAAGAGACTCGAAAGGTCAGCCTTAGGGTACTTCTAGTGGGCTAACATTTTGTGGGTCATCAATAGCATAATTGGTTGTAATTAATGGTCAGATCATATTGACAATATTTACCTGGAGAAGTCAAAATCTCTCTCTCTCTCTCTCTCTCTCTTGTATCCGATATGAGAAAAACAATGGAAATGAAGATGCAGATGAAGATCGAGGATAAGGATGAAGAGACTGATAATTATCATCTTGATGATAAGCATCATGTTCATCACCATTTGAATGTAATTACACCTTTTACCTGTTTGGGTTTGTCTTTATTTCAATTGTTTATTTGTTTGTTTTCTTATAATTGTTCATCAATGTTCACAAACACGTTGGCACGATCATCATCATCATCATCTTCATCTTCATCCTAATGTGTTAATGTGCTTAATATTGTTGATTCAACGATAATACTATCAAACAATAAAATCGACAACAATTAAGTTACATTATTATTAAATGAGCTTAAATCATTTGTTACCATTTAGCTTATCAACCTGTTTTTTTTATAATTGTAATAACTCAATCATTACAATCAATTACTACAATTAGCAATCAACAATTGAATCAAACAAGCAAATAATAATCATCATGATGAACATATAATGGATGCTAATGATGATGATTAAGACTGATTATAATAAAATTAATCATTCATATTATGAGGCCAATCCAGTGATTGTTATGTAACAAACTGATTAAGGAAGTTTAAATGTTTTCAGAACTGAATTGAATTAAATTGTCAAATAAACAATAACAATTAAGATCCATCAAATTGTTCATCCCTATTATTAGCAGAGCATCTAATTGAATCTGAGAAAAGTAATTTAATGAAAATGATTAAATTTCAAAGAATCAATTGTTTGGTGAACTAACCAGAAGAATGGAAATGAATTCAGTTTCATCTGAGTTTTATTTTTTCTTCACCGATTCAGATTCTGGTCTCAATTCAGATTCTGAGCATTATAATGAACCATGTTCGTTATATAGTTTATTATAGTTCAAACTAATTCAGACTGTTGATTGTTTCCAATTACATCATCTTAATCATCACGAGTTTGTTATTCAAATATGAAGCTCAATTAAATCGCCAGGTATCATCATCATCATAATCATCATTTAGTATCATGATTAAAGTTAAATTTTCCATTGAAATTGACCTTCAATTGAATCAACTCTCTATAAATATATTAATCATTGTGAACAATTAACAATATAATAATAATACACCAGCAAAAATTAACAAAATAGATTAGCTAATTGCGTGATTAGC